AGGAGGGACGATAGCACGAGGAGGAACGAGGACGAAAGGGGAATGAAGATACGGAATGGGGAGACGGTCATGCCAAACCGGGCGAGCGCAGTAATTGGCTTGATCCGTAATGCAATGGGCAGTGTTTCCTTGCGCCTCGCTGGCCTGGGGATGAGCATCCCCGCTCGCTGCGCAGAAGAGCAGTCGTCTCGGGGCGGGCGCGCGGCGCGCGCGCGGTGGGCCGTAGAGAAAGACGGGCCGCCGCGATCGCACCGTGCGGCGCACTCAGGTGGCCGTGTCCAACACGGGCCCCTGGACGACCATCAGGAGGTCGTAGCAGCGCCGCAGGCCAGCCTTTGAAAAAGGAGGGAGGTAGAGGGTGGGGGCCGAGAAGCTGCAGACGACTGCGTAGCGGGCGCGAAGGGGATAGAGAGGTGCATCCCCGCTCGCTGCGCAGAAGAGCAGTCGTCTCGGGGCGGACGCGCGGCGCGCGCGCGGTGGGCCGTAGAGAAAGACGGGCCGCCGCGATCGCACCGTGCGGCGCACTCAGGTGGCCGTGTCCAACACGGGCCCCTGGACGACCATCAGGAGGTCGTAGCAGCCATACCCATGCTCAAAGCCCTTGCGAAGTGACAAGAGTTCGGCGGGCGGCTGCGAGCTGAATGGGCCACCCGGCAGGGCCAGCATTCAGGAAGGACGCGACAAGGTAGTCGCTAACAGACGCACAGTACTCGACCAGAGACCGAGAGGCCTCAGGGAGGGCGGCAAGGACAGTAGAAGCGGCAGCGTCTTGCAGGTATCCCTCGGCGGTGGACGCCTGGCGCCAGCGGCCCCGCCAGAAGACGCGTGGCAAATGCTCCGTAGCGGCATTGAAGTCTGTGGCGCCTGTGCCTTGAAGGCCAACGGGTGTGATGTCGAACCCCGCAGGCATCTTGGCGAGCGGCGCGCCCAAGCCGACAAGTAGATGGTTCCACCGAGTACGGAAGCGGCTCTGACCAGAGGTCGTGGTCATGAGCGGATCGGTGGGGCCCACATGCCGAAACACAATCTCCATAATTTTGACGGTCGCTCGATCCGAACAACGAGCGTATTGAATCGGATAAGACCGACAACTCTCAGGAACTGCAATCGACAAGAAGGCGTCGCCTTCCGGCTCAAAGCGGTCGCATGGCAGCGACAAGTCACAACGCTTCGCGTGGAGAATCTCGCCTGGACGCAGGGACATCGTGAAACCAGCCAGCACCAGGGCAGCCATCTCGGGCCACTCCCACAGCAGGCACAAGCTAACCATCGCGCGAAGGAGCGCTCGGGGAAGCGGCGGGCGGAGCCCGGGGAAGCTGCGGGCATGCCCGAAGAAGCGCGCTGGAGGCTCGGAAAGCTTCCACAATTTAGCAACATCCCAGGCCTCAGTCAGCAAACCCCTACAGTGAGGGTGATTGGCCTGCACGCCCAGCACGGCGTGAACAAGGATGTACTGCGGGAGCCCCGCGTCGTGGAGCCAAACTCCGAACGTGGCCAAGAAACTGCCTGCTAAGATCCCGCTGCGGTAGAGCGCGTCAGGGACAATGCCCGTGTGCTCACCAAGCCACAGCTCGAATGCAACGAGCGAGCGTGTACGCCTGCCCTCATCAGCGGGGGTGAAACGAGAGCCCTGGACGAACGAGATTCGCGCGAGAGGAGGCGCGGAGCTAAGGCCGCGACCGGAGTCAGCTGCAGCGGTCGAGCCAGAAGGCGTCGGCGCGGCTGGGGGCAGCTCGGCCCCTGGGCCGTCTAGCGCCATAAGCCGCGGGCGCTGCCGCTCGCCCTGATGTGCGGCGTCAGCCGAAGACAGGACGGCGCCTGACCGCGGAGCGCTCGGAGGCGCAGCACCTGCTGCACGGCGGCGGCGGCGCGCGGGGTGGGGGACTCGCCGATGCCAGGTAATGGCGGCACGGCCACCGCCCTGCGGCGCCGTTTCAGCCTCGCTGTGCGGGACCGTACCTACCCTCGCCTCAGCCTCGGCGGCGCTGTCCACCTCCGCGGGGGCAGCCGGCACTGCCGCAGGCGCAAAAAGGTCCGCCGCCGCCGCGGGGGGCCCGGCGGACGCGGCCTCTCTAACACAATTGGCAAGACGTGAGCGGGCGCTGCACAGTGCAGCCTTACGGCGCTCGAGCTCGGCGAGGAGCGGCAGGATACGCTCTGCCAGCTCTCCCGCGCTCTCCCCAGTCTCCGCACCTCTCTCCAGCTCGACCTCGGTCAGAGCGGCGTCGACAGCGTCGACCGCGCTTCGGAACCGCGCCAAAGCACGCCGGTCGGCACGCGCGCGCCTGACCGCGGCCGCTGGGACAGCGACCTGGCTGGTGCGCATCGCAGCCGAGGTGGCCCACGCCTCGACTTGGGGCGGACCTTGGGCCGCGCGCGCAGAGGGCTCCAAGGACTGGGAAAAGTGTGGCGCAGCCGCCAGCGCCTCAGAGACCATGCCATGGGCAGCTTCCCTGGAGTCGGGGAAATCCGCGTTGCCAACGGGCGGGTCTCCCGCCATGGGCGCGGCGCTAAGCGCGGCCGCGAGTTCCAGAGACCTCGGAGCGGCCCTGGCACGAGGGGCGGCCGGCGGCACGGCGTATGAGGCGGCGGCGGGCGGCGAGGCATCATGCACGCGCGCACGGGCGCTCGACTGCGAACGATGCACGGAAGCAGGCGTGGGCACATCGTCGGCGCGCGGTGCTGGTGGCGCACTTGCGGCGCGAGCCGGAGGGCCCATGCTGGTCCTAGCGCCCCGCGCCGAAAGAACGCCAGGCGTAGCGCTAGGCGCGGCCGCGCGTTCCGGAGACCCGAGGCCGCCGCCGCAACGCCGCCGACAAGGCCGTCCGGGCGCTGGCGGGAGTCGCGCCAGACACGGCGCCGACGGCCTCGGTCGCCTGTGGCGGCCGCGGCGCGCTGTCCACGAGACCGCGCGTCGAGGCTGGGGATTTCCCAGGTTGCGCCCCCGCAACGGATCCGCCGTGGACGCGCAATTCGCGGAAGGGCCCGAGCAGCTGGGACCGGGCGTCGCAAAACTGCTGCCAACGAGCCGCGGAAGCATGGCAGCCTCGCGACTTGGCCGGGTGGTGGGGGGTCGCTAACCGCCGCCACGCCCGGTGCACCCCGGAGTCTGGAGTGCTCAACTGCACGCCGAGGAGCGCGCAAGCGGCCATCAACTTGGCAGCATCAGCTGGCCGTAACTGGCGCTCGCTGTCGAACGCGGCGGCCGCGCCCCCCGCCGACTGCGAATGCGAGCCGCCGACAGGGGGTAAGCGCGCGGGCGCTGACGCGGCGGCCACTGCACGGCCCTCATGGGAGCCGCCCGCGCGCGCTCCCTCCTCAGCAGCAGAAGAAGAAGGACCGCGAGCGCGACTTCGCGAGCGTTCCGGGCGCTGCGAGCGGGACCTCGCCTCGGGCGCGCCTGCTCCTGGCCCCCCACCGACGGCACGAGCCCCTCCCTGCGGGGCCGCATCAGCATCGCTGGCAGGGCGCATGCCTGCCGGCGGGGGCGGGAACGAGCTAACATCCCAGGGGGGCGCCGAAGCGGTGGGCACCGCGGGCGCTGCGCTGGCTGCAGAATTCACGACGTGATCGTGCCGTGGACTACGCAAGGCGTCAGTGCGAAGAACGTTGCGCGGACCACTGGGTGCTGGCTCCCGCGAGGCGGGTGTTGGCGAGCTGGTGGTGCTGGGGGGCGCGAGAAGCGGCGGGCCCCCAGCCTCAGCGGACGCCGCCGCGTCGCCCTGATCGCCGGGGAATGGCGATTCCTGACGGCTGGTCGCAAGGTGCCCGTGCGGGCCCGCGCCCGCGGCAGGGCGGCGAGCCAGAACCAGGAGCGCGAACCTGCCCCACAGACACGTCGGGTACGCGGAAGCAGCATCGGCAGCCGCTATCACGTCGAATCGCTCGAACCGACCCTCGTCAATATCCGACAGCCAAGCAGGCTCGACACGCGAGGGAGGGCGGACGGGGCGATTGCGCGTGGGGTCGTCCGCTCGATGGACATCGGTCGGGACGTAAAGCCCGCCCATGTAGAGCCCGCCTCCCAGGATGTAGGGCAAGCAGGTGCTCAACACATGCGAAAGTCCGGGACTGCTGCTCCGACCGTGGGCCGCCGCGCCTAGTGCCACTTGGGAGTCCAAGAGAACAGGGATCCGGGAGTCGGGGTTGCGGACGCAACAGTATTTGCACAGACTCTTGAACACTGTAGTCTCAAGGATATTGATATGGCGACGCATGCGGAACTCCCACTTATACGCCAACCGAAACCGCAGAGCCTCCGACAGCTCACTGATCCAGCGCGGCGCGATGGGGAGCTCAAGAGAAGGGAACCCCGCCTCGCGGCGCAGCTGGGTCAGCTCGGGGCCCAGGAAGTGCCCGCGGCTCAGGACCATGAGCAAGTGACGGTCGGGAAGACGAGTATGCCAGCCGCCGTGCTCGGAGCGCCGCCACAATTCTTGTGACAGGTGCGAACTGATGTCGCTGCGGACCACCCCGCCCCAGCCGAGGGAGGCATCCGTGCCGAACACTTCAGGGCAAGGCGTCGCCCTAAGGTCGGTCATCGCAACAAAAGCCAGGTAGGCACAGGCCTGCAATTCGTCGCGAACCGAGGGCGGGAGCTCATATTCGAGCCCGTCGTCGGGAAGGGTCGAGATGAAGGTGTAGATGTGAGTGAATATCGACAGGATGGGACGTCGATACAAAAACACCTGCACCCAACAACCCACGAGCGAGCTCAGCAACGCCCGAGTCGAGCGACCGAGGAATACCTGAATCAGGGTCAGGCGGCAGAGGGCCACAGTGCGGACCAGGGGAGCACACACTATGCCGATCCTGCCCTCCACCTCGGCGCCGACCACGACCTTGTGGGTTTCGCCCCTGGCCCTCTTGCCGGGGTGCTGAATGAGGCCCACCTGGGGGTAGCCGCGATCACACGCAGCAAAAACCTCCCTGTCGCGGCGTGTCGGGTCGTCGGGGCGCGGGGCGCTCCCGCGCCACGAGAGCTTCTGAAAGCCCGTGTGGTCGTCGATGTTTAACATCTCGACGTAGGGCCCCCGAGGGAACGGCAAGCGATGCACGGCCTGCTCGGAAGGCCGCAGCGCGCCGAAGCTGCGCAGCACGCCCTCGTGTGCGGAGTTGGCGATCTCCACTGCCATGTTGTCGCCCATGGCCAGCGCGTTAAGGCAGGGAGAAACGTCCAGCCCCTCAAGGTCTTTCCGCCACGCGTTGAAGCCCTTAAACCGCGAGCTGGGGAGCTTAACGCGGAGGGCGTTGCGGCGTGCGCGAGCTGGCGGAACCTTGAACGTGTAGTAAAACTCGCGCAGGTCGTCGCACGAGACCACCAGCCATTCTCCGGGCGCGAGACCCAGGCGGCACAGAAGGAAGCCCTGGCCGAGGCGCTGTGTGCTGGAGGAGACGCTGCTGCAACGACTGTTTACTACCGTCGGATTCAGGATGAGACGGTCATGGTACTCATCCTTCGGGACCCTGAACGCACCACAAGCCTCGTCCCAGGCGAGGTCGTCGGAGGGAGTAAGGTACAGGGCGCCGCAGGAGTCCCACTTGCGCAGAAGCTCCCACAGCTGCTCGCGATCCATATGCACACGAGCACCCGAAAAGCCCGAAGGCCACTCGTTTTCTGGTAGCCGCATGACTTCAGGGTCATGAAAAGCGGAGCGAACCAGATCGTCGGACAAGTACGGAGTGGGATCAAACGTAGGAGAGTAATCCCACTTGATGCGGGACGCCTGGACCCGGAGGTCGAAAGGCTCAGCCTGGGAAGGATCCCAGCCTGCCGCAGCCGCCAGCGAGCTAGCCAAGGGCGTGGCGCTGACGGGAAGTTGCCGCATGGGGGCGGGCACTTGGGAGGAGGAGGTGAACGAAGCCTCAAGAGCTGCGACATGGGTGGCCAGGCCATGGAGCGAGACTTCGGTAGAGTCGAACTTGGCAAAAGCCCGACCGAGGTCGCTCTTGCCACCGCGGGCAAGGCGAACTGCGATCCGACACAGACGCTCGAGGCGACTGCGGACACCCTCCTGGCAGGGTGTGACCGTTGCCCGCACCCTGGCTTCGGCGGGAGCGAAGCTGGGATGGCCCAAGGTGAGCCAGTTGAGCGCAACGACAGCATGCTGCGACAACGTGCGGGCGGCGCGCCTCACACGCCAGCGCTCACGCGCGCGACCCGTCAGGTGCCCGGGTGGCGGCGGTAAAGGCGGCGAGGGAGGGCACGGCCATGGATCGCGGGGAGCCGACTCCAACAGGTACGAGTCGTCCCAATCCGACGCGCAGAGGGATGAGCGGGTAAAAGCGGCAAGGGAACATCGAGTCCCCATCCCGACCTGGGCAAGAGCAGCAGCCCAGTGGGTGACGTCGATGCAGGCGCCTGGGAACAGGCGCAGCAGTGCGGACAGATCTGCCACGAAGGGCGCTGACCTGCCAGTGCAAGTGCTGGCACGCGAAGTGCCAGGAGCGGCGGCACTCGAATCAGGAGCCCCAGAAGCGGGGGCCTCGGCACCTGAACCAGCACCCGGCGCGCCTGAGGCCCCGACGGCTGGGGTTCCGGCAGCACGGTGAAACTGGCCAAAATGGCCACTCGGCCCTGAGGGCGAACCGGGGGTGGAGCGAGAGTCGCGACAGCGGCACGTACACCTCCCTGCGGGGCCGCAACAGCATCGCTGGAGGAGCGCGTGCCTACTCTCACGGCCTCGCTCAGCCCAGGCACGCCTGGCAGCAACAGCGTCGGCGCTTGCAGCGACACGCCGCTGCATGAGCCCTCGGCCGGTGCACGCAGCTCGCGTGCGTCCACCCCTGCGTTGGGATGCGCCGCCGTGGGGGGCGGCACCGCCTGCGGCCTGGGAGCCGGCGGAGGCGGCGCGGCAAGGGTCTGCCGCCACCCGCACCGACGGGCGATCACTCGCATCAAAATGAACGATGCGCCGAGGACGCCCGTCCGCACATTTGGGCCCTGAGCCTGAAGAGTCAGGGCCAGCGCCGTCTGGCGCGTCTCGGCAAAAATGGCCCGTTGGCTCGGAAGGGGGATCTGTTGTGCTCGGCGGGCGGCCTGCAGACTGGGGGCCGCTGGAGGCGGCGCGGCAGCCGCGCGAGCCATGCCCAGACGTGCGACCTCGGCGACCTCCTCGACGAAGGCGTTGCTTCCGCGATCGCCTTGTGCGGGAACCAGATGCGAGGGAAGAAGGGCTGGCCAGGCGCGTAGCCTGACGACCGGCTGGATTGCAGGCGACCTCCGCGGCTACGGCGGGCAGACCCCCAGCCGCCGCCTGAATTGGCGCAGATGGTGTCGGTTCCTTCTCGACGTTCGCGCGGCGAGTAGGGCGGCTCGAAAGGGAGCATGCGCGGGACGGCCCAGCGGAGGTCGCTGCAGCGAGGGGGCCGCTCGCAGAGGGCCGAGCGCCTGCAACATAAGCCATCCGACTCGCACCTGGCAGCCCCGAGGCTGAGCTTGGCAAGAACGCGGAGGGGGCCCCTCCGAGCGACCGCGGCAGGTCGCGAAGGCTCGCACGA